TGTTGGGGTGTTGGGCAATAACCCCCGAAAAAATCGAGCACGGGCTCAATGGAAGAAGACAAATCGTGCAATTGGCAAAAGACCCCCCTCCCTCCCCCTCCCCCCCGCATAAAAAATCTAATGGTCCGTCAATAAGGTACCTTTAACATTATTTCAAAATGGGTTTCATTCCGGAATGAAATGAATTTCATGCCGCATTTACATGCAAGATAATTTAGATTATAAAAACAAGCAGTAAAAACAAGTATTTACGTCCTTTTTCTATGCTTCCCTCGCTCCTAAAGAGGATTCATACAGATATGAGTGTCGTACCGCGTTTACTTTACACAGGTACAAAAGGTCGTCCAGAATAAGTGTTTCGTTCTGGAATGAAAACCTCAATAAACTCATTCACAAATGACTCGTTTCGAATAATTTTACTCTGGTATCATGCGACAACCGGGATGAACTCGTTCTTGAACAAAACTCATCCCGATATCATGTAAAAGGCCCCAAAGAGTTTTTATTCCCAGAGCATCATGCTTTTTTCCCTGCCAGAACACTATAAATTTCATCGCGTTGAAGCAACAACCCGCTTTGAACTGCTACGCTGAAACTGAAACAACGATTGGTGACCACAAAAGTAATATACTGTAATATTGTCAATTCAACATAAACAAAAATCTTCATACAGGGTAAATATTCATTTGTGTTGGTATCAATTATTGCGTGACTAGCTTCTAATATAACTGGGATAGGGGAAAAACACAACGTAAAAGCTGAGCTCCCGGCAAAAAGTAATCCCCAAGCGTAATATGATGACCGAAACAGTTATTGGTCTTATAAAATCATAAATAAACTAGGTAAGAGTGTTGTGTTAGATTTTTTTACAAATTGTAGTGATTTATGCCTCGATATGCCAATAAAAGGTGGCGACAAGTAGGCACACCATGTATATTTCATAGTCACTAGCAAGTAAATTTTGCCGGACTTTGAGTTTGTCTCACAATAGAAAAACACAATTGCACAAGAAAATTTTTACAGTAACTTTATAACCATCCTTTTGTCTTTTAAAAGCTAGAAGCTCAGTAGATTTTGTCATATCGGTCATTGTTAAAACTGTCTTTGTTTTGATGCTACTTTTCAACATAGAAAAAGTATGTTGGACAAAAATATTTACCAAAAAATAAATATTTTTTTGCCATCCTCAATAATGTCAGGGGATTAAGTTTAGTTGATAAAACAAAGGATTATGCCGACTGAAATACCGGAGGTCAAGTAAATTCGTTGCATGAGGTCACACAACTCGGGTAATATTCAGAGTGAAAATTTGCATATTTGAGCGGTCCAACGAAAAAAAATCATTTCTCAAAAACTAAAATGTATTTTCACAAAAAAACTACACCACAATTATAAGGACATATTGGACTACAAAATATGAAAGTAGGAGAGAAAACGAATTTGGGCGACTTGCCGCCGTTTGTCTAATGCATGTTGACATTAGCTCTTAATTGGCTTCTGATTTTGTGTCTATGTATCCCTCCCATTCTCAGAAGGAAAAAATATTTATTTTGCAACTGGGTAATATGTTGAGCTGATGTTTATAACCATTTTCAATCACCTTTTTTTTAAGGCTAGGATGACATAAAAGAACAACTTTGTACGAAGCATCAGTCTTCTTACAGTTGCTATGGCTACAGGAAGAAGTTCAATTAAAGTTCCATGTGAAAATGAAGACTTACCTGACAAAGAAAATGAACCAGATTTTGACGAGGACACTTTACGAGGTGAGCAAGGTTCAACTTCGGCTTCAGTCATTGTTAGAACAATTTCTATTCAATCAGGATCAGTTTCAAGAATGCAAGCAGATGTGGAAAAGGATATATACAGTGTATGACCACTTTAAAGGATATTTGGCCAATCATGACTCTCTTCTATGATTACAATATGCTGTTCATTGAGAATACCATCATCATCATCACCATCATCTTTCTATTTTAATGAAACATAATCACTTTGAAACCTTCAACATTCCCTCCCTTCTCCTCGAGCAACCCACAGGTATTTGATCTTCATCCAAGCCAAAGAGGGTGGGGGGGGGGGGGGGGGGGGGGAGGGGGGGGGGGAGGGGTTTAACCCTGCCTGACTGGCGTTAGCGAATTTGAATAAAAACTGTCACATCTAATTTCCAGTAGAGTACAAGGGTTAATTATCATTGAATATGGAGGTGTTTAAGGTAGATAGTGTACTTTCACTAACAAATGGCTCAGAAGAAATAAAGCTTCAAGGTCTAGGTTTTAAAGCTTGGTCAATTAGTTTTTAAAGCTTGATCAACTAGTTGAAAGTCAAATTGCTAATTATTTCGCCTTTTACATAAAATTGTGTGGGGCATTTGAACATTTTATTAATTTTGCCCAGGGAATGGGAATTTTAGGAAACCTATCTCCAAAAATTTAAATGCCCAGGGGTTTGCCTCAAGTTGAGTGATGCTTAATTCTCATTGTTATTCTTACCCATGATGTCACATACATCATTGGCATCATCATAACTATTGAAAATCTGCAGATTTTAAGTCTCCAGATCTTGGCAGCTCTGATTATACACTAATAATTATTAATTAATACCACAGACTTTGACACCTATTTTAAAATTTTTTTTCGAATTATTTTATTTTTTCTTTGCAGCCACAGCTGATGTTTATAGAAATGAGGGTAATGAGGCCTTCAAGAAAGGAGATTTCATCAACGCTATTCATTTTTACACCAAAGGAATTAAAATAAACTGCAACGAGAAAGAACTGAAGGCCAAACTGCACAACAACAGGGCTATTGCACATTCTAAAATTGGTAAGATGATGAGAGCTTTAATAGGCATTTTTTTCTATTTTGAAGCTATTGAGTTGTCAGTAGTAGTTTTCTGAAAAAGGGGATAATTTTTAATGCATGCCCGGAAAAATTTACATCTTATCTTGGCCTCTCAAATATACAAAGAAGTAACCTCTTACCCCAGATATCAACGAGCATCACAAGTTTTTCTCAAAATTATAGTAATGGTAGTTGGTTTGCAACATGTATGGCTAATCAGAGATATTTATTTCAATAACAGGAAATCACCAGGATTCACTAAGGGATGCAGAAGCAGCCATTGAGTTAAATCCAACTTTCCTCAAGGCAATTGTGAGAGGTTAGATATGTTAGCTGTACAATAATAATAATAATAATAAAAAAGAACTGAACACTCTAAGGTTAAATGAGGTTAAATAGAGTTCAATCTTGTCTCAATTGACTTTAATTAAGAGGTCGAGACCACCCAGATGTACATTTGAATCCAGCTCTTGACTGCTACGCCATTACTTTGCATTAATCATGATGAGAATATTACTTTGAACGGGATTAAGAACTCAATGCGGAATGCAAAGCAAAATTTCAGCATGAATATTTTAGTTCCTTAAGTTCAATGAGTCATGATCACAGGTGTCAGATATGTTAAGAGCGTGTCCACGAGAGCACCGGGCAGTCGTGCTACATGCCATCTCACCGATTTCAATGAAACTTTGGCAGTTTAAAGGGTCTACCCCAAAACTCAAAACGACAAACTGGTTTCTGTTTTGGTTTTTTTTCCGGGGGGAGATAGACCACCCCCTCGGTTTTTCTTGGTTTTCACCAAGGAAATCGCTTCAAATAGGTAAAATGCATGAAGCTCTCACTGCAATGGTATTTAACTGATTACTCTGAGGATTTGCACATATATTTTTACATCCTTAGTTAATGTCTGCTGCGAGTGTCAGTCCGTTTGATCGACGGCTTGTCAATCAACAGAGGCAAATATACGCCAGTGTTTTTAGACTTTTCGATTCATCTAAATATTTTAAAACTTTGAGGTCAAATATCTCCCGTTGCCAGAAAGCTACAACATTAATCCTAATTCCCCTTTATAACCCATCATTTCATCTCTGAAAATCATCAAAAAAATCTTTGGGCACTACCGTATTTTTGTCTTGGATGCCTTTTAAAATCTGCGACTGTGACAAGTTTCTTTCAACTACACCTGTCACGCAATTCTTGCTCTAGGCGGTCACTTGACAAAATAAACCTACATTTTTTAGCTCTCTATACAAGACGATTGATCAAGAAAGGTGAAAAATGTGAAAAACTTTCGAGATTTTTTGTAGGAATGAAAAATTTCGCGTTTAGAGAGATGCATGTAAACGAAAAATCAATGGGAAAATCGTAGCGTTTCTTTTTTCAGTCGTTTATCACTTTGAAGATTTTCTTAAATCAGCAGATATGGCTTTTGTACGGCACAAAACATTCATTAGTCTATAATATGATTGTTAATCATCATCATTGCTCATTTTATTTCATGCTGCGTGTTGGTTGATATTACTAATTGTTCCAGTGTGCTACAACTTCGGCTTTTACAGACGAGAAATTCTGCGCTCTCGCTCGAGAGCAAATATCAATAGTTCTATCGGACTAAAAACTGTGCCTCTATCCCGAAAATAAAATTAAAATAGTGTTGTCGTTGTCACTTACCGCCATCGAACATTTCCATGCAGAACTCCGCTAAGCTAACATCTGTTGTGTGACCCGAAGACTCTTAGTAGGAATTATTCAAGCGCGTTGTTCATGCTGTCTGCTAGATAACAATTTCAGAATAATCTGCAGATCTCTATGATTATCTGCCTGCTTCGATCTTAAAATATCTGCATATTTTTTTCAAGGATTCTATTACTACACATAAATCTACATCTCTCTAGATCGAGTGTTGCCGGCGTTTAATTGCGTAACTTTCCAAAGAGCCCATCCCAAGTCCTCCTGGCTAGTTAGGGATTGTTCGTCAGAATTTTTACCAGAGGTCCGACCTCGAACGTTGCCGTCCTCTATAGAATGGCAAGCCGGTCTTAGTCCATTTCCTCTTGATCTTATCCTAAACGGGATTTTTTTGTCGGCTTCACTGTGTTTGTCTTTGTCAGGGTACATTTGGATGGCAGCCAATGACTGAAACGTCTTGATACATCCTTCTTTTAGCAAGAATATCTCGCTTTCTTGTTCCGTCTATGACGGATTGGGTATAGTTCTCGCGATGACCCGCGTTCAGAAATCTGTGCACGTTGCTGATAAGCACCCACTTCTACGACTAGTTTGCTGAAAGTTTCTAATGTGATGAGCCTAGTGAGACCCTGAGGTGCTTCAAACTGTGCCAGTTGGTCTGCGCTATAAACTTGTCGCAGTTCTTAAGTCAGAGGGAGGATCGCCCACCTCTATCTATGTGAGCGCCTCTACAATACCTGCGTATCCCTAGCAATAATATGATATAAAGTTCATCTCAGTCACAAATCACCAGTTAGGAAAACTGATGTTCAGATAAGCGCTCTTCTTGCCCTTCTCCTTTTTCATTGTCGACTCTAAGATAGCAGCTACAGTACGCGTTCTATTTGGGTTTACAGTCATCTTGCCGCCACCAGAAAGACTCGCCACCAGCTTTGATTTCTTCTGCCATCTGCAGATTCATCTCTCTCTCACTTTATGTCTCCGATTTTTATGAGGAGGATACTGGCATTTACAAACCCGAAGGTCTGAATCTCACACCAAGTTGTGCACGATATTTGAGGTACATCGTGAAATCACGGCCTTCGTAATCTCCAAATAAGCCAATACGCGCTAGAATAAGCTCCATCTCGGACGAAACGCATGTTTGGGATACATTGACGTCTCTCAAATGTTTTTTTTTAAGCTGTATACCCACGAATTTAGAGGTGTGAGCTGTTGCCGTCCCTGGCCAGTGCGAGAAAAGTAACATTTGGTTCTACAGTTAGTTGCAAATGAACAAGACAACTGCACCATCTTGACTTTATCAATTCGAGTGTTAGATTGAATTGAGGGCTTTTTAGACACTCGATTTCTTATATGGCATCACTATGAAGACGTAATACAACTGATACACCTACACTACATAGGATTAACAATGTCTGTTGCGCTGTTGCGAGAAGGGAAAAAATATTACCGGAAGTGTACGCTTTTTTTTAAAAAGAGTTTCAGAGACGTTTCAGAGATGTCTATCTTTGATCGGCTCTCACAAAAAAATGACCCCCACTTAAATTTACTGGGAAAAATGAACTTGCCAACTCCTTGTTGAAAAAATTGGAATTCATTTAACCGATACGCCGGTTGTTTCAATTTTTCTTTTTCCTCGGGCTGCTATGAAACAGTTCATAAATTGACTAATGAGTAAAGTGTTTTGAAATACCGTTCGGGATTTGCCTTTTTTTTCTGCGTGCAAATCAAGGGTACACAAAGTTTTTAAACATTTGACTAGATTTTCATGGAGTTCACCTGGATAATTTTCGTCGGCCAGAGTCAAGACGCGCCAAGCTAAGCGACATCGCCCTCCAGTAAAAAATTTTTCCAAAGAATAAACGTGGCGAGCGTGAGGAAACGCACGTTTTTTCATCATTGTGATCAAAGCCCGATGATGTACCTAAGTTGGTACTTACGGTATCAAACCATTGATTATGACAGGGTGAGCTTAGTTTTTCTGTCGAGGCGTCGTGACTTCACATTAAAAGCATTTTTGACGGAACAAACTAGTGAGCATCACTGCACGAACTGAGAAAGTAAAAACTTGTATTTATCTCCCATGCGTTTCGTCTGGCAATAGTAGACTTCATCAAGGATTTTTTCAAGTAGGGTAAATAAGCTTGCTCATATACAAATAGTAAATAAGTTGTCTCTTTACTATTGAAGTCAGTCGATAGAATACGCCAGGTGCGCCTACGGTGTTATACACGCGTGACATTTTCCGGACGTTACATGTACGAGTACGTGATCCGTTTAAGGGTCACAGATTTAGTGTAAATATTTCACTCCTCAACATCACCCAATGTCTCTAGTTTACAGAGGTCTTAGAACGTTTCATTATATGGAGTTGCCTTCTGCGGGTAGAAGGCTACAAGCGAATTTCTCAGGCGTAATTGCCTTTGATTTCTCAATTGATGTTGTCGCAAACACAGTGTTTGGGAGTCACGAGACAAAAAAACTTATCAGAACCTAGTTTCATGTTCTAATGGAAATAAATAGCAAATAAAAACACATTTTCTTGAAAAATAAAGTCACAAATGAGGGGGGTTCTCTGAAACAAATAGTGATAGAAGAGGATTTCAGTTCTGGTCAATATTGACTTTTCATGGCCTAATTCCAAATCTGAGGGAACGTGCTGAGGGAATAAAAAAACATTAATGTGTGATAATGCAAGCAAGAGAATGAAAATACAAATAAAGAAAAAGGAGAAAACATAGGAACCCGTGTTGCAGCGTGCAGATATCTTTTGAACCAGACCTACACACATAAGCCCGACACCAGCCAGAGAAACTCGAAAGAGTCCTGTATATGAACTAGCTCGCACATGCACGCAGGAAAGGCCATGAAAATCAGCGAAAATAATAGCAAATGCAGATGACATTTGCAGGCAAAAAACAGGAAAATAAGATAACAGAAGGATTAGGAACTTTCTAGAAGTGCCTTCTTGAAAAAAAAGATGAACAATCTTTACTTCTCATAAAAGGTCACGCAGTGACCCCTACAAATACTATTCCTATACGTGGAATTTCTTGATGGTGGAAAGTGGAAAAAACATTTTCCAGTTTTATTTTCTGGAAACATGACGTAGTTAACGAATTCATGGGGCTATTGATATTTCCTAAAAAATAAGGGGGGGCAGAGTTTCCCGTCATTCGCGGTATGGAAAAGCCGAAGTTGTTACACTCGGGAACTTGTACGTCAACAAGCAGGCGACATGTGACTTTAAAATCTCCTCTCCTGTTACAGTTTCCTTATCGTAAATTGTGCGATAATGATAATAGACGATCAAAGTATAGTCTAATGAATTTTTTGTTCTGTACAAGAGCCCTATGTCCTGATTTTAGCAAATCTTCAAAGTAATAAACGACTGAAGAAAGAAACGCTACGATTTTCCCATTGATCTTCCGTCAACATGCATCTCTCTAAACGTGAAATTTTCCATTCCTACAAAAAATCTCGAAAGTTTTTCACAGTTTTCACCTTTCTTGACCAATCAACTTGCATAAAGAGCTAAAAAGTGTAGGTTTATTTTGTCAAGTGACCGCCAAGAGCAAGAATTGCGTGACAGGTGTAGTTGTGAGAAACTTGTTACAGTCGCATATTTTAAAAGGTATCCAATACAAAAATACGATAGTGCCCAAAGATTTTTTTGATGATTTTCAGAGATGAAATGATGGGTTATAAAGGGTAATTAAGATTAGTGTTGTAGCTTTCTGGCAACGGGAGATATTTGACCTCAAAGTTGTAAAATATTTAGATGAATCGAAAAGTCTAAAACCAAAGTCGTATATTTGCCTCTGTTGATTGACAAGCCGTCAATCAAACTGACTGATACTCGCGGCGGCCATTAACTAAGGATGTAAAAATATGTGTGCAAATTCTCAAAGTAATCGATTAAATACCATCGCAGTTAAAACTTTATACATTTTACCTATTTGAAGCGATTTCCTTGGTGAAAACCAAGAAAAACCGGGGGGTGGTCTATATCCACCCGGAAAAAACCAAAACAGAAACCAGTCTGTTTTTTTGAGTTTTGGGGTAGACCCTTTAAACTGACAAAGTTTCATTGAAATCGGTGAGATGGCATGTAGCGCGACTACCCGGTGCTCTCGTGGACGCGCTCTTAAGTCACTATCTAGCTGTTTTAAAAAGAAGGATCAGGACTTACCTAACTTTTAGTGTTTTTGTGGGAGTGTTTGATCCCAATTTATCTGAAACCTAATAGGGCCTGTTTATTCTTTTCCGTTTAGTTTTTTTGTATTGTTTTGTTTTGTCTTTTTTTTTTCTGGTCTGTAATGATTTCAATGGTTTCAAGTTCTTTTCTCAGAATTGAGCTACAGTAACAGTATGCTTCTTTGTGTTGTTGCCTACAGGAGCCACTGCTTGTATTGAATTGAAGAGATTTGAAGAAGCAATCACTTGGTGTGATAAGGGACTAGCTGTATCCTTTGAAGGAATCTTTCATTTTTAACCGTGGGTATAATGGAAAAAAGTTTCCAGCTCATATACTTTCAAGGGAGAAAATACAAAGAAGGGTATTAATTATGATGGGAACTTGTCAGCTCATATACTTTAAGTGTGTGGGATTAAAAACATAGGAGAAGTTATTACCTCATGACTTATGAATGAAATTACTACTTTTAGCCAATTTGACTTAGTTCTACTATCCATGCCAATAGCTGGTACATTAGTTTAAATAATCCTTTAATTTCCCAGACCAAATTTGTAATTATCCTTACTGTCAACCATACAATTCTTGTAATGTTAGTACAGAGAATTCAGTATTGCATCAACTAACTATTTTTAAATTGATATATTTTTTTTTACTCTCAACACTTATCTGATTGATATTGTATTGCTATTGTAAGGAGAAATTCTCTTTTGGTCACTCACGGGAGTTAAAGGGTTAGAAGACTAATATTCATCCAGTTTCTACATAGTACTTGGGTAGATGATCTCTCTAAAACAAGCCAGAACAAAAAGCTCTTTAATGTTTACATATCTTATGCAGATTTTCTGCCTTCGACCTTTTGCCTCTACTTAGAGACTCAAAAACTTTTGTGCTTTCCTATGGACTAATAAAAAATTTAAAGATATGTATTTATTTTATGTATTTTTGTTTTTTCCACATTTTTAACCCTTAACCGTAAAAAAGATTGACAAAAACAATAGGATCTTGTCGTCATTAAGACTTCAGTCTGTCAGTGAAGTGGGAGATAAGTCCATGGAGGAAAAAGATCCTATTAGTCATGACCACGGTAGTGCAAGTTCAGGTGATGTCAAGAAAGTCATAGATCTCTATAATCAGGGAAAAGAAGCCATAAAGTACCTCAACCTATATCTTAAAAAAGATAAAGAAGTAGGAGACAAGCATGGGGAGGGTGGTGCTTATGGCAATCTTGGCAATGCTTATCACAGTCTGGGTGATTTCAAAAAAGCCATAGAGTACCACAACCTACATCTTAAAATAGCTAAAGAAGTAGGAGACAAGCATGGGGAGGGTGTTGCTTATGGCAATCTTGGCAATGCTTATCACAGTCTGGGTGATTTCAAAAAAGCCATAGAGTACCACAACCTACATCTTAAAATCGCTAAAGAAGTAGGAGACAAGCATGGGGAGGGTAACGCTTATGGCAATCTTGGCAATGCTTATCTTAGTCTGGGTGATTTCAAAAAAGCCATAGAGTACCACAACCTAATTCTTAAAATCGCTAGAGAAGTAGGAGACAAGCATGGGGAGGGTAACGCTTATGGTAATCTTGGCAATGCTTATCTTAGTCTGGGTGATTTCAAAAAAGCCATAGAGTACCACAACCTACATCTTAAAATAGCTATAGAAGTAGGAGACAAGCATGGGGAGGGTGTTGCTTATGGCAATCTTGGCAATGCTTATCACCGTCTGGGTGATTTCAAAAAAGCCATAGAGTACCACAACCTAGATCTTACAATCGCTAACGAAGTAGGAGACAAGCATGGGGAGGGTGCTGCTTATGGCAATCTTGGCAATGCTTATCTTAGTCTGGGTGATTTCAAAAAAGCCATAGAGTACCACAACCTACATCTTACAATCGCTAAAGAAGTAGGAGACAAGCATGGGGAGGGTAACGCTTATGGCAATCTTGGCAAAACTTATCGCCGTCTGGGTGATTTCAAAAAAGCCATAGAGTACCACAACCTACATCTTAAAATAGCTAAAGAAGTAGGAGACAAGCATGGGGAGGGTGCTGCTTATGGCAATCTTGGCAATGCTTATCGCCGTCTGGGTGATTTCAAAAAAGCCATAGAGTACCACAACCTACATCTTAAAATCGCTAAAGAAGTAGGAGACAAGCATGGGGAGGGTAACGCTTATGGCAGTCTTGGCAATGCTTATGACCGTCTAGGTGATTTCAAAAAAGCCATAGAGTACCACAACCTAATTCTTAAAATCGCTAGAGAAGTAGGAGACAAGCATGGGGAGGGTAACGCTTATGGTAATCTTGGCAATGCTTATCTTAGTCTGGGTGATTTCAAAAAAGCCATAGAGTACCACAACCTACATCTTAAAATAGCTAAAGAAGTAGGAGACAAGCATGGGGAGGGTGGTGCTTATGGCAATCTTGGCAATGCTTATCACGGTCTGGGTGATTTCAGAAAAGCCATAGAGTACCACAACCTACATCTTATAATAGCTAAAGAAGTAGGAGACAAATCCTCGGAGGCAATGGCCTACTGTTCAATTGGATTGGTTTTTGAGTTACAAGGTAGACTGTCAAAAGCCGTTGAACATTACCAAGCTAGCATAAACTTATTCAATTCCTTGAGAGTACTTCTAATATCTAAAGATGAGTGGAAAGTTAATTTTCGAAATCAGCATCAAGTGGCGTATACGGGTTTGTGGAGAGTTCTCGTAGAACAAGGTAATGTAGATGAAGCCTTATTTGTTGCTGAGAAAGGACGAGCTCAAGCTCTGACCGACCTCATGGAATCCAGTTTTTGTGGTGGAACAAGTCCCCACAAGGGAGAAGATGAAGATTGCGCAGTTTTAAAAAACGTTCCATCAAACACTGTCTTTCAGGCAGTGGACCAAGCTAACGTCAATCTTTGGGTTGTGTCCGAAGGAAAACAAGTTCAGTTAAGACAAAGTAAACTCAAAGGTTTTGTTTCAGAGAATAGTGGATCTAGCCTGTCCTTTGAGTCGTTCATGCTCGGTGTCTATACACAACTTGGTGTTCGTTCTAATGTGAGATGCGAGAACCGATCTTTAGATGCTTTGAGGGAGGGCCGTTCAAAAGTGGATGAGAAAACCAAAGAAGCCAAGCCTCAACCTCACATCCAACAAGACGGATGCTTGAGCACTTTGTATGATATCGTTATGAAGCCGGTGGCGGACTTGATCGAAGGGGATGAGCTACTCATTATTCCTGATGGACCCCTGTGGATCGCTCCTTACGCTGCATTGAAGGATGGTAATTCTAAATACCTGTGTGAATCGTTCACAATTCGAGTCGCTCCATCGTTAGCAAGTCTTAGACTTATTGCCGATTGCCCAGATGATTATCACAAAAGCAGTGATGCGTTACTTGTAGGAGATCCGTGGGTATCCGAGGTTACTAACAGCGAGGGAAAGAAAGTCTTCGAGCAGCTTCAGTATGCTAAAAAAGAAGTAGAAATGATCGGAAAAATTCTGAATATCAAGCCAATCACTGGCAGTCAGGCCACGAAACGTGAGGTGTTGAAAAGACTCAGTTCCGTTTCCCTAGTTCACTTTGCGGCACACGGATGTATGGAAACTGGCGAAATTGCTCTTACACCTGACCCACACCGAATATCTACTGTGCCAACGGAGGAGGATTACATTTTAACAATTGGAGATGTGTTGAATGCTCAACTTCGGGCCAAACTTGTTGTGCTTAGTTGCTGCCACAGCGGCCGGGGCGAGATCAAGGCTGAAGGTGTGGTTGGCATTGCGCGCGCTTTTATGGGGGCTGGTGCTCGGTCTATTGTGGCGTCCCTGTGGGCGATTGATGACGAGGCTACTCTTGAGTTCATGAAACACTTTTATCAACAACTTGCCGAAGGTAAGCCAGCAAGCGAGTCACTGAACCTGGCCATGAAAAGCCTCAGAGAATCAGACAAGTTCTGCGACATCAAACACTGGGCGCCCTTTTTGCTGATTGGAGATGACGTCACTCTTGACGAGAGAAAATTTGAATATGAAATCACATGAAAGAAAACTTTTTTATTCCATCTCAAAATGAATGACGCAGGAACTTGGAAGGTTTAAATGCTTCTCTATTTTGGCGCTTTTTGGCTATTTTTCATTAATTTTCACTTTTTTGTTAAATGGAACTTGAGATGTGGGACTTTACTTTGATGAAGAAATAAAACAGACTATTTCAGTATATTTTGTTCAGTGGAATTGCTATTTTTTTGCCTTTACAAATTTAGATGCTTGCGAAGAGAACAAGATGCAACAAGGCTTCTGTTGTTAATGCCTGAAGTTGTTGAAGGCGACTACGAGGTTTTCGTTTCGCCAAAATGACACTCAGATCTATTCCTTTATTGCAATCAGTCATGTGTAAAATAATTTAAAGGTTTTTTTCTTGTACACAACCAGGAGCTTGTCCACCGGGTTTTAATTAAGTTGATACTCTAAGCTTTTGATAAGCAAAGAAACAGCTTGTCATTTGCAAAAGGTGGCGAAATTTTAATTTCAAAAATGTGATTTGCAAAATTCGCAGCCATATGTGAATTGATCTTAATGGTTTTTCCACGTCATAAATTACATTGTTGCAATTTGCAATTATCTTTACAAAAAAATTGATTATCGTTTACAACTTTTTTTCAATCCATTTAATGCAATCTAATTCCATCAGTGTCAAGATTGCCATTCTAAGCTTAATATGAAGAAGTAATCATCAGAGATGATGTTGTTGAATTTACTGACCATATGTTAGAGACATTAGACCTACTCTCAGGGGTGTGGCCAGCCTCTAGTCCCGTGGGCCCGGCCTACAATTGTTTTCCGCCCGCTTGACTTTTCTAATATGACTCTTACAAATGTTGAAACAAAAATTGACATTTCTCAGGAAAAAGGCCTACAACAAGTCAAAGAGCTGGCTACAACGGCCTGCTTTCAATCAAACGGGTTTGATCAATTTTAGTCCATTTTATCAAACACTCGTCAGTTTGTTTTAGAGAACGAGGACAGAGACAAATTGTCCATGTAATCTAAACAAGGAAATAGCGAAGCAGAGTTTACTTTAACTAAAGTTTCCATTGCTGTGACTTTTAATGTATGTGACATGGAATTTGTTGTTTTCATTAGGAAAATATTTACGCCAATAAATTAGGGAAACACTTGAAGTAGTAAGCCATGTAGTCCTTAATGGGAATTATTTTGGTGAAAATGTTCATTAATAGATGTAAATCTAGGCAGTAGTTAAAAAGGTTTAGGGCTTCAGGATAAAACTTGCATTTTTTTGAAAATTTCCTGTTCAAATTTTTTTCACGACTTTAATTTTACCTTAGTATAATTTGGAGATGTCTGATGATATCTTTCTTAGATTTAAGAATTTATACTTAGGTATTCAGAGCAAGCTTTGTAATTAGAACCCGTTATGTAGTCAAAAGTTTAAGGTATACTATATCACAGCTGTTTTAAAAGAATTTTTGTAAAATCAATGTTAATTTTTGACAGATTTTGATAACTACCATTGGTATATGCTGATATAAAATGTAATAGTTCACCTTGCACATGGTTGAATATGATGTAACGTAGGATTTTAAAAACAAGCTGGGACAATTTCGACTAAACATTCTTTTTATAATGTCAGTGTATTTGGTGTGAATTGTTTTGATGCTATTTGTATTTAAAGTTGAAGCTATTTGTTCATTTACCTTAGTTTTTATTCATTAACTCATTAACTCCCAAGTTCTGAAGAAAAATTCTCCCAACTGTTGAAATGTGTTTCTTTGTTGCTTCATTCTGAGAATTCGATGAAACATAACGTTTCTAGTGAAAAATAATCCGATAGTTTAGATTTTCTCTAATTCTTATTGACACCATGTTTGTCGGTGCATTAATTTTGTGAGGATAATTTAAGTTATGATCAATCTTGGGAATAAATGGGTTCATTTTAGTGTCTCCGTTTAGCGCGTACTTTACCTAATGCCTTGAACAATTTCATGCAGTTTGTATTGTACTTTTTTTACTTTTTTGTGTAAGAGAAATAGAGAGTGTATAAAATACAAAAACTGCGTATGTTTTCATTGTCTGTCTCCATATTCTAAGGATTCGCGTGAGATGCACGGAGAACAGATCCCACGGGGATTTCAATGCTTGTTTTGACCCGCGCGCGCCAATTTGATAATCTTTGCAGCTGACAGTGGACTGACATTCCATGTTTCAAGCCCCCACCCACTTAACAAACGCTCGTCGACTCTTCGATTGTGTCTCTTTCACTGTCTACCGTTCTCCATATTGTCACACGATTTTGAATGCCGACGGACGTGTTCATACTGTTACCTGTGTGCGCCCTTTTTACCTTTTTACACCTTTTCACATTTGTGCATCTCTTTTTTCTCCTTCCTTTTGTTCCTTCCCTTTTTTCATCGTACTTTTCCTTTATTCCCATTTTTACGCGCACTTCTTTCATCGCCCTCAACTTTATTCTTCTACGCGCTTCATTAGACGCGACTATCTCCTTGTCTGTTTCAGTTTTCATTCGTCTCAATCCTCGCGCAACGTCAGGTCTCTTACAACTCACATACCTCCTTACTTCCACAGAGTAGTTGTTATTATGCTTATTTTGTTCACTTTGGGATGATGTCCTCTTAGCATCATGTCTAGTAAAATCTTAGTTTTCCTTTCGACTCATTCCCAGTCCACACGGGGTCTCAATTTTAAGTCTCACTCGCCAGTGTTTGCTCTCCTCGGTCCTCTCATCACGATAGCAGCTATAAAACGAAAGAGCTCCCTCCAAGTCTCTGCGACATAATCGATGAATTTTGTTGGAAACGAGTCCTTTAATGTCCAAATTAAGGCTTCTTCTATCATTTGATTGGGAATGGATCTAACTCTCGCCCAGGGTCCACCTACATCGCGAGTCCAAGATGGCAGCAGGCCAATCCACAGACTTCTCCGAGTCGGTAGCCGTCATCTTGGATGTAGACGCAGACAGGACCTTGAAAAAGTGTTTTGACAAGACAATAATCAAGAAAGGTTAAGTTATTGTAATGCTTCCTAAGAGGTAGTCGATAACAGCCCGAGAGATTCATTAGGAGCAAAAACGTTCCGTCGATTATTGGACTCCATGTCTCCTTACGTTGTAGAACAAACTCCTCGAATACGTACGCCTATATGCCCCTCTCCTCCTCCCCTAAACAGCACTATACATCCCTTTATTGCAACTTTTAAAATTATACAGCACAATACAACATTATACCCCTGAGTAGCACTATAAATCCGTAAAATGAAGTAACTGTGCAGCGCATCACAACAATATGAACCCCTAAATAGTACTATGCTTCCCTCTACTGAATTTTTTTTCAGCATACAGCGCTCTATAAACTATTGCTCCGATTTGGCACGAAAATAATTGTGGATATTTGTCCGCGGACATTATCTATTCCAAGATGCCAAAACCGTGAGCTTCGAAGGACAACGTCTAAGGACAAATATCCGAACACATTTTCGTGCAAAATAGAGGCTATTGTGATTTTTATCCTTCAATTATTTTGCAAGGCTCGTGAAAGAATCTTTATGAACAGCTCACTGAATTGAATTAAATTTGAAACGAAGACTTATCGAGGTAGCCGTAAGGTTTGCGAATTGGGGAATATCGCTTGCGTGATATTCTCGGATATCACCCAGTATTAGCTGGGGGATATTTAGTCACTTGCTGCGTTTACACCAATTGCGCGCGAGCAAAAATATTTGATGGATCATAAAAAGCAACAAGTACCCTTAGATAGCACTATACTTCCCTCTTCCACAATTTACATCACAATACAGCGCTATAAAACTTACACTTAAATAGTACTATACTTCTCGCTACTGCAGTTTACATCACTATACAGCGCTATACAACAATATGTACCCCTAGATACCATTATACTTTCCTCTTTTGCACTCTACATCACGATACAGCGCTATACAACAATATCTACCCCTAGATAGCATTATACTTCTAGCTACTGCAGTTTACATCACTATACAGCGCTATACAACAATATGTACCACTAGATACCACTATACTTTCTTCTTCTGCACTCTACATCACTATACAGCGCTATACAACAATATCTACCCCTAGATAGCATTATACTTCACTCTTCTGCACTCTACATCACGATACAGCGCTATACAACAATATGTACCACTAGATACCACTATACTTCACTCTTCTGCACTCTACATCACGATACAGCGCTATACAACAATATCTACCCCTAGATAGCATTATACTTCTAGCTACTGCAGTTTACATCACTATACAGCGCTATACAACAATATGTACCACTAGATACCACTATACTTTCTTCTTCTGCACTCTACATCACTATACAGCGCTATACAACAATATCTACCCCTAGATAGCATTATACTTCACTCTTCTGCACTCTACATCACGATACAGCGCTATACAACAACATGTACCACTAGATACCACTATACTTCACTCTTCTGCACTCTACATCACGATACAGCGCTATACAACAATATCTACCCCTAGATAGCATTATACTTCTGGCTACTGCAGTTTACATTACTATACAGCTCTATACAACAATATTTACCCCTAAGTAACCTTGATCGGCATAACAGAATACATACATCGAAATTTTCCATGCTTTGTGTCTGTCTCCAAGGTTCATTATATATTCGATGAAAACCTTTGCGCCGTTCAAAGAAAACGCAGCATTTTGCAGCGCAGTCGTGACTCGTTTGACGTGAAGACAAAGAGATGGCGAGTTGATTAAGGCTTTAAATTTCAAACTCTTAAAGGTGGGAAATATTTCTGAAACAAAATCATTCACGAACATCACTATTAATTCGGAATAATGTAAATTCGATTCACGTTTACTGTAGATAATAAATTTTACTCCCATTTTGCCAATCATACAAAGAAATCAATACACTAAGCAATGCCTTCGACAAGACACAGTTACACAGTTGTAAATCTCCATCCTCATCCTCAGTAGAACTATGCTATCACATAGGTG